AAAAATAAAATAAAATAAAATAAAATAAAATAAAATAAAATAAAATAAAATAAAATAAAATAAAATAAAATAAAATAAAATAAAATAAAATAAAAAAAGCCAAAACTAGGATCTTATTTTAATCAAGTTGAAACCCTAGCATACATATTTTAGTGGTATTTGTGACACATCTCATGTGATGTACACGTCGTACGAGACCCTTTATCGAACACGATGCTTTAAACTGGCGATATCTTAACATTGATAGTTATGTTGTGTACACTTAGTAACTCGCGACCGTATACTAGTAGCACCCGTCGTCGCAGTCCTTACCTGCCTCATATCGAATAACCTAAGCTAATTATATAATTAATTTACATAACGTCATTAATAACACCTGTCTCATCCCAGACCAATTTATTGCATGATTTATTCCAGAGCGAATCGGTATTATTTTAACGATACCATGGCAACGGCCGGGGTTAATATATTGTCACCGAAATTTGTATATATTATTTGGGACTATATCACTGCCATACTTTGAAGTCAGAATCCAAATATGCGTGAATAGTTTCTACGTATATCGACTTACATGAATAGTACTGGCGATAATTATATAGCTTTTGAAGGGTCATATTAGATTGACAATTATTTTGTGATTAGCGTTGGAATGTTGAAATGGTGCAGTGGATACGATGCGTTTTGTACTCTTTTGTTGGTTGTTGCGCCTTGAGTGGGCTGGTAACGATCATTCTATCACTGTATTGCCATCGTGATCTGTACTCACCACAGTCCCCCTATTACGGAACTTTGTACTTGCGAAAGACGAGCAGTGCGAACATGTCTGAATTGCCGATACATCGGGATGCAGTGGTTAAAACCGTTCGAGTAGAAAAGATTAGACTTCACAAGAGAAGCCAAGAAACCGTGTACATCGCAAATGTCGTCTGTGGACGCAGGCTGGAGGAAGCTCTAACGCTGTATAAATCAATAGTTTTGTTCACGGACAACGAAACAAGAATACATTTACATATTTTTACAGATCATCTTCGGATTAATCTGACAAAAGAGGTAAGACAGTTATATCATATGCGGTCACTAGGTAATGCGTGCACACTATCCCGGAGACTCACATGGGATTATATATGTATCCCCTCCCCCTGTTTTTCAGCATTTTGTGGAACTGAGAGTCTCCATTTTATGAATTATGAAGAGGAAAGCTCATTTATTCAGGACCAGTTTGGCTAATTAATTTTATTTCATTATAAATATGATAACGTTTTGTGGGATTACTTCGAAACAAACGTGATAGACGGTTTACATGCATATACTGATCTATCTTACACAGCTCGATAGATGGCCAGATATTGTTGGTGGTCGAATCACGTACAGTGTACATTCAGTTGAATATCGCGATGTAGAAGACGCCCTCAAGTGGAAGAACATGTTTGCACCATGCTCAACTCAGCGTTTATTTCTGCCGGTAAGTGGCGCTCTTTTATACTGTCTTCCTTGTACAAACAATCTGCCCAGGGGATAACCGTCCCATTTCTTCCATGCAAACACCCCTGCGCTGTCGCTGCGTGTTGTCAGTAATTGTCTTACTGTGTGCTAATTATTGGTGCCGCATTGTTCTGTATTTAAAACATAAGCCACATTTTAAACAGTAAACTTCATTTTGTCAGAAAGTTTAGAGCTAGGCGATTCAGTACAAACGTTGGTATTGTTCTAGTAGACAACTTTTAATTCTCTAATAATTAGTTCAACAAATTTGACAAATAAACGTTTTTAGTCAGTGTGCATGTAGTAACTAACATATTAGTTATTTTTTTTCAATTCCTAGAACATTTTGAACGAAACCGATGCTGTTATTTACATAGATACAGATGTTTTATTTCTTCGTTCGCCAAAACTATTATGGGACACATTCAAAAAGTTCAATGAAACACAACTTGGCGCCATGGCTAGAGAGAGCGAGGACCTAGTAAAAGGAAACTGGTACAGCAAATATTCAAAGGTATATCATTTATAGACCCTCTAAACTGGTGAACGCATACAAATGTTTGTGATTTGCGCCCTCACACGCCACGTGTGTAATATGTGACATTGTAATATGTCACATTTATATCATTTAGTTTTACGTGCTCTTCAGAGGGAAGAAATTCTTTCCATTCCCTATTCAGATACCATACAACGGTAGCTGAGAAGAAGCTCTTTTCAAATTCATATTCAGATAACATACTATGATAGCCAAGAAAATCCTTTTTTCCACTCCCCTTCAGCCCTATTCAGAATACATACCATACCCAGGTGGCCGAGACAAGACCCTTTTTCATTCTTTAATCAGATACGGTAACCATAGTACGGTAGTGAAGAACATGGTTACTAAAAAATTAGTAATCGTGCCTAGAAGAAACTGTTTTTCATTCCCTATTTAACCACCATACCACGTAAGCCGAGGAGGGACACTTTTCCAATTCCTATTCAGATACCACACTCCGGTAGCCATGGAGAAACTCTTTTCTATTCCATATTTAGATACTACACTGCGGTAGCTGAGAAGAGAATTTAATTGCATTCTCTATCTAATCACCACACAACGGTAGTCTACACTCTAATTATAGACATTAATTTCACTCTCTATCTAGATACCATACTACGGTAGTCTTGGGTTGAATGCTGGTGTAATGCTTATGAATCTGACACGAATGCGATACAAACATTGGGAGGACAACATGCTTGATGTGTACAACGAATACAAAGCGAATTTAACATTTGCGGACCAAGATATTATGAACATCTTCTTTCATTTTAACCCAGGTAATTTATTTAACTTTCTCGTTTTAATAAATAAATGAAATCGTCCATTATTTAGTTTGGAGGTTTGTTTTCAAGACAGAGAATGTGTAGACGATAACTTGTCTTGTTCGAAGTGTTTATAAGTGGGTAACCACTTCAGTAACACATGTGCACAACAAAGCGCATCAAAAACCTACGTGGCAGGCGATACTGATATTTTACATGACATTTTTAATATTTAGTTTGTTGCCGTAATCCGATGAAAAGTTCTCTATTTATAGTACTATCATTGGACAAAATAAGTGTTGGCATTTCTTGTGACATCTGGAGTCAACCATTTTGAACGTTCCAAGTAGTGATCATTTGATACCAGTTAATTGTGGTGATAGTGACCACTTTTTTTTACTTTCTCTCCCCGAGATTTTTTATTTTTATTATTCATTTTTTTCTCATTCCCTGTACAATACTTTATTTCCAAGATATGTCACGTTTTAAAAATTGAAAGTATATACTACCAGCTGGCAAACATGGCACTAAAATTAGACAGTTCACAATCCTTATATTTTACTTATCGAAGGGTTACACCAAAAATGAAAAAAAAGAATTTCTCTATTTAAAATCAAACAATAGTCTCGAAAATAAAAAAAAAAGTTCGGACTCCCTGAAATCCTTATTTTGATACATGTCAAAGCTACAGACATTCATGAAAATACTGCAATCAGGTTTAAACCCCGTCTCTTTTTTTTCATGCGGATTTGTATTATAAATATTAAATAATCTCAATTTGCAAACCTGAAAAGCCTTATTTTAAACAATATTTTGTTTTCCCAGATATAATATATGTCCTTTCATGTAAATGGAATCTAAGAACAGACCACTGCGATGTGCCACCAATCCAGTGTAAAGATGCCCTCAACGATGGAATCTCATTAGTGCATGGCAACAGGAGAAAGTTCCACAAACATTTCAGTAACCAACCAACTTTTATCTGGCCGTACGAAGCAATCAGGGATACAGATCTAGGCAACAGTCGAAATAAGTTTGTTGAAGAGCTGCAAAGGAAGTTTGATTCAATTCGAAAAATTCCTGGTTGTGCACGGCTTGGCTCAATAATTGTGGAAACTCTAATAATTTCTTTGATTGAAAGCATAAACGCAAGATGAAGATCGCCAAATACTAAACACCCGTA